AATTGAGATGTGATGAATTATAGAATGATAAATTGATGCAGATAATCAGTATAGACATTAATGTGTATATATTTCTTTATATAATTTATAACATATTATTCTTTTTTATTTTGTATTGATTTTAGTTGTAAGATTTTAATTACTTGTTGGGCTATGTTCTTATTACGTGCTTTTACATGTTTTCAAAAAAAGTTAAGGATCATATGACATATATAAGGCTCCAGACAAGAAAAATATGTTATCATATTTTTTTCTGTTGTTCATTGGTAAGCTTTAGTTAAATGATTAAAATGCAAGATAGATGTAATTCTTCCAATATACGTCAATGAGTGTGACAACATTTACATTAATTTTTATTAGTTAATAAATCGATCAAACTGTCTTTATCATTTAATCATCATAATTCAATCAATCAATCTCATCATTCGTTCTATCTTATCGGTTGATCAATTATACTATCAAAGAACTTGTATCAATATTCTTATCATTTATTAGTATTATTTATCGTATATCAATACTATCAGTACTCTTATCATTTACTAGATATTCAGATGCATGTACCTTAATTTTGCTCCTACACTTATGACTCATGTATCAGTCTCCATCTTCTTATGATTTTCAATCAATTAATCACTTAGATCTTTCTCATGCACTTTTGACTCGTGTATCAATCTCTAGCTCCTTATATTTCCCATCAGTAAATCATGTGGATCTTAAGGATATCACATTGGGTTATCATATCATATATATGATATCAATCAATATATTATTTCACCATACCTTACGCTATTTCATATCAATCATCCGGCTTCCCAATTCTATACATATATGTTAATTATTTCATCTTATCATATTCATCATGTCAGTATTCTTATCAGATCAATATCAATATTATTTTTCAATACATATTAATTATATTAAGTATTTCAATACATATCACACTTCAGTATCATATCAAAATTATAGTACATCATTTTTAACCTGCTTTTAGTATACATTTTTCCCTACTCATTTCACATAGAAATTCTTATACCCATATTTACCCAGTAAGAATACAATAAAATCATATGAAATTATTCACGATGATCAAGTCGGTAGCATATTAAAAGTTACACGATAAAAACTTATGAAATCAATAGAATGCATTTTTTACAGATTTAGGAGAGAAAAAACATGTATAAATCAAAACCATCGAAAACAATAGTAAGAGTATTATCACTTAATGTGGGCAGAATAATTTTCATCACATAAACAATGGATGAAAAAAGCCCATAATGATTCTCTCTCTCCTCTGTCTCTCTCCTCCTCTTCCCCTCTTCTTCGTATTTTCCTTTCGTTATCAATCAAACAACGAGAGTGAGGGAGGGAGTGGGTGGTGTATATATATTAATGTCTGACGCCACGATGCTCCAAACCAACATCACTGTGCTGTATGCTAAATCTAAAATTACTGTAGTTCAAAGCCTTCAAAGTCGTAGCATCAATTTATGGGGCTGCTGCACTCTCAAGCACAGGGCCGCAATGCTCCAGTTCAGACAAAAAATTAGTTATTCATTTTAAAATTATTTTCATAATTATCAGAGTTTTACACCAAATAAGATGAAATATATTGAACATTATCCATTCTAAAATTCTTTATAGCATTCCAAATATACTTGCTCAAAGACAAGTGAAATAGCCATTTCTCCATGTCCCTTATAATATCAATCTCAAGTACTCATTTGGCTCAATGATGCTTTTAAGTTTGTTATCTTCACCAATATTGCCACTTGCTATGTGTATATCGTTAACATACAAAAGTAGATAGCTTTATTCTTTAAACCTCTTGAAATAGACCATATTGATGCATCTCTTTGACTGGCTCAAACCCATATAAATATTTTCTATGAAGAAAAACTTTATTCTGTGACCATATTAATGTATCCCTTTTGACTTGCTCATATAGAAAACCCCCTTAAGTTCTTCATTTAAAAAAAAAAAAAAACTATTTCACTAAATCATATTTGGCTACTATAGATCTAAGAACCGAACAATAATCAAATCGAAAATAATGGTTAAGTTCATAGATAATATATGTCAATTTCAATTGCAATAATAAACTTATGAAATTAAATATAATCAAACAAATTTTGTGTCATGATGTCTTAATAAAAAAATAGTTATGATAAATTTTAAAGGCTTTAATTATGCTTTAAGATGAGTGTAATATAAAAAAAAATTATAATAAAAAATTAGTCATGATAAATTTTAAAATAAAATTTGAAGTCCTTAGTTTTGTTTATAATGCACGCATCATAAATTAAATAAAATATTTTAAAATATATAATGATAAAAAATTTAATTAACATATTTTGATATAAATGTTTTTATATAACTGGTTCAAATATGGATCCTGATTAAGAATTTAGAAATATAAGATTTACATAGGCCATTCAAAGTATCATGGTACTTACAGTATGCTAAACAGAGCGCTGAACAGAGCACTGCATTGGGTACCCATACCCACACCCACCCATGTACCCACCCATACCCATTATGGGTGGGTATGGGTACGTCCATGACCTTGTGGGTGGGTATGGGTGGGTACTCAACATCTTATATTATTGCAATCATTACTAAATACTGTGCAACACTTAACCATGCTGCGACTACGATAAATTATGATATGCATTTTGAAAGTTTGCAATCAGAGCAAAGGGCAGCAAGCCTCAAGGCCATCAATTAGTGTCAGACTACGTTCAAAAAATATGGAAAGTGAGTGGGTATAGGTGGGTATGGCATCCCGAAAGTCACCATGGGTGGGTGTGGGTGGGCAAAGCTCATCCGAGTAAAGCCTGGGTACCCAATCAGGGCCCCATGTAGGGCTTTGATGCTGAAGCATATCTCAGGAAAAGGAAGGCCTTAAGTTGATCGATGCAATTTGATATATTAACATTCAATTTTCAAAAAATAGTTTTATTAATATGAAAAAATAATAAATTTATGATTTGATTGTTATAGATGTGTGAATAAATCTCTTAATGGCTATAGAGGAGCAATTATCTCAGATATGGCTCTAGTTCTCTTAATGCCTCTTATGAGCACCTGTAGTAATGAGGCTATTATGGCGAGTTGATAAGTGTATATGTAATTCTCCTATAGTTTAGATGAGGGGAACTCTATGGGGGAAAATAGTCAAATATTCATTTAGGATGAGTTCTCATAATGCGGGTATCTCCTTGAGGAACTTTTATTTGGTCTGGTGAAAGGACGTAGAGCTACGTTCAGCCGGCACTAAATCGCGCCACATAGCACGCACAAAATCACGTATTTGTCAATTTTGTTCGGCAATAACGAGAAATGCCATTATTGATTTTAAAAGCAATCATGGTGGCCATGGATTTGGAGCGACGAATGAAGGTGGCAAGACCATATTGGATTTTTGTTTAGCTTATGATTTTTTAATTGCTAATACCTTATTTAAGAAAAGAAATGAGCATCTCATCGTAATAACGAGAAATGCCATTATGTGAAGACAAATATCGAGCAATACCGAGTAATACCGAGCAAGACCGAGCAATACCGAGTTTTCTCTAGAAAAACTCGGTATTGCTCGGTATTACTCGATATTGATCTTCACATAGCGGTATTTCTCGTTATTGCCAAGCAATACCTAGCAATATCGAGCAAAAACCGAGTAAATACCGAGTAACTCAGTGGTGACCGTACGTAGAGCTACGTCCGATCATTGGACCTAATAATTGTTCCTCCTTGCTGTTGACTTCCTCAATTAAATATGCTTCCATGATTGAGCTTCTTTTGGTGAGATTTATTAGGGCGAGTGTCTGCTTTTATGAAATGTTGCTAGGAACATCCTTCTAAATTACTAGACAAGTGCATCTCTTACTGTTTTTTAAAGTAGATTTATAGTACAAAGTTTTTTTGAACTATAAATTTTTGTACTAAAAATTTATTTTAGAAAACATTAAGGGCATCTCCAACCGAACTCCATACGCTTGAATGGCGTTCCTGGCCAGCTCCAACCGAACCTCAAAATTTTTGCTATTTGGCTGCGGGTGAACAGTGGGACGCCATTATTGGCATTGCATTGTTCATTTCCGCTATTTTTACCTCTCAACCGAACTCGCCGTGGGAAAGAAGAGGCAACCGTTACCTGCAAAAGGGTGAACAAATGAAGTTCGATTGGAGATGAATCTCACGGCATTTTGCAGTTTCACGACATTTTGGAGTGAAAAATGAGATTTTCCGTTGGAGATGCTCTAAGAAAGCTGCCCCAAATGAAGCCTTTATCCCACTATGTGAGATCACTTTTATAAATATTTTTTCTCTAGAGTCAAAATCTCATTTATTATAAATGTGTATCCATTTACTCACTCAAAGTTAGGGGTGTCAATTTCGGGTCATGGGTTAGGTTCTGGTCAAACTTGAAACTGACTCGAACCCGAAACTGGCCAAGGACTATTCATATCAATTTTTTGGACCAGAACCCGACCCATTTTTGCAAACGGGTCAATTTTTTTGGAGCAAAACCCGACATGATTTGGGTTTGGGTCAACCCGACATGACCACCCGAATGATCTGGGGCCGTGAAAAAAATTGTTAGTTTTCAGGTCAAACTCCATTTTTTCGGGTAAAACCGGTCGAAAACATGTATATCTTGGAGTTCCAGGTCAAAAACGAGTTTTCGGGTAAGAACGAGTCAAATCGGGTCAATTTCAGGTCAAAGGGTCAACCCGAACCTAACCAGATTTTTGAAACGAGCCGAATTATTGAACCCGAACTCGACCAATTTTGGGTCCGGATTAACCCTAATCCAAAATTTTTGAATCTAATTCAAATTGAATTTCCAGACTATGTCAAATATTGACACCGATACTCAAAACCTATATCAGTGGCCATTTGGGTTGAAAAGCTACTGTAAACTGACACTATGACATAATCGAGCCTGTATGGCTGTATTATGTATTTTTTTTAAAAAGTACAATGTGACGAGTAATAATAATGCCGGATGCGTTCGGTACTTCGAAACCCTAGCAATCAACTGATCTCTGCTCTCTGCTCTCTGCTCTCTGGATCTTCCGTTTGAACTGCGGCAAGCTATTCAGCGTTGAAATCATACATCTTTCAATCTTTGTTCTTTGAGACTTCAACCGAAGCGGTTGTATCCTCGTTGAGAATAAGAATCTATCAATTCTATCCTACCCATATCACCCCTCCTACATTCTTCAGCCCGACTCTTCACCTGTCGACGCTCCTCTCACTTTGCTTCTTCGATAGAATGGAGTCGGGATCAAAAGGCGAAGAGGCTCTTGCTTACAGCAACGCCGTCACCAAGAGAGCTCGCCTGCAGTCGATGCTCTCAGCTCTACTCGATGATCCAATTTTGGCTGACGTTCCGAAGAAACCCACGGTTACAGATGTCGAAACTTTAATCAACTTGGAGCTTGGCAGTGCTATGAAATTAACTGTTGTTAAGATGGACAACACCCATTTTGGTCAGTATTTCTCTTTGTATGAATTAGAAATAAATTTATCCTCAAAGTTTATTTGTTTGCTTTTTTGTTTCCAGATATTGCAGTTCTAAATTCATCCACTGTTAAGGACTTGAAAATGGCTGTTGAAAGGAAAACGAATGAGATCGAGCAAGGACAAATGGGTCACAGGCATATATCATGGTATTATTGTACAGTGGATTTAAGATTTTATTAATTGTTTTTTTTTTAAATTAAACATTGCGTAGTTCATTATCTTTCCTGCCGTTAATACTAGCAACTTATTATGTTTTGGGCCTTACTTGACACAGTTCATTGTCTATATTGCACGAATGTTCCCAGCAATAGATTTCCTATATTTTCTTCCCATCTTTCCCAATCCTATGATTTTATGTTTTTGATGCGATTAAACCACTTGATTGTTACTAAGATCTTATTGTACTAAGTACAGGAGGCATGTCTGGGCTAACTATTGCCTATGTCATCATAATGAGAAGCTTCTTGATGACGCCTCTTTACTTTCTAACTATGGCCTTCGAAACAATTCCAAGGTTAGTTCTGCTATGTAAAGCATATAAAGAATTATTTCCCTTTTGTTGAATTCTCAAAATGGTGAGTTCTTTTATGCTACAGTTTCACTTGCTTCAATGGTTACTTATGATCAGAATCTGCAATCGTGCTCATTTTTCCTGACTTTTGTATGCAGTAGCATTTATAATATGTTCCCTTAACATTTGAGCAATTGTAAAGATGAACACCTCTTTCCTTGTAACAACGTCTTTTAAGTGTAGATTTATTTGGGCTTGAGTTGCTATGCAAGCATAATGACCTCCGATCTAAGACTCAGATATCAGATATCTAATGTATTTGTAATTTGGATTTTCCAAATTCTTTTTTGAATGTTTGAAAGTATTCCAGGTTGAATTTAGAAAATATGTTAAAAGTGGTGAAACAATGAAAATAACAACTTCAATTGACATACAAGCTGCTGGATTCTACTGTTAAATGGATGAAATGATGATGAGATGAGGGAATCAACAAAAATTTTATAGCTGGTTTATTACAAATGAGAAATTGTTTTTTTTAATGCTATTCTAATTTTTCCATGAACTAATTCATTTTTTTACAAGCAATCTTTGAACAATGAACAATTACAATTATTTCATGTAGCCAACCGATGGTCTTTTTTAAGTAGCGTTCATAATTCAATATCAATTGGTCCTGTCCAAAGAAAGATTCAGTGAAACATTGTAAGCACCCACGTTATGTATTCAAATGGCTAGTTTGACATTGTCACAGAGAAGAGTGGATCTATAATATGATGACTCTCATTCATAATGCCTTTACTGATGATCTAAATGAGTAGCTGTTTTATAATGTTTTAGTACTTAACTGGTTGATTAAACTTAAGAGTTTTGATGCACATTAATCTTATTTGGCATGTTATTCTGGAGGTGTTTTTATTTTTCTTAATTGATGAGCAAGATAGTCTAAATGTGGTGTCCCTGTTAACGCAACAAGATAATGATTTTGTGATGCCTATAGTATTGGTTTCCAAAGTAACTGTATTAAGTTTTAGATGAAAAATGAATCATCATCGTAATCATCTTGAACCTTTTCTCACTATTTGGATTTGATTTTATGTTGAGCTGCATGGAAAGTAGATCTTTTTCACCAAGTTGATGCATCTACATTCAATGGGAGAATAAATTATGAAGTCTTTTTTTCTTGAAATCTAAATCATGAAGTTTTTACTAATTCGCTAATGTATGTGGATAAATTGTTTTTTTTTTTTTTGATAAATGATTTCTAGTGAGTGGCAACGCTTGTTAAACTCAAACTAACTTGGCAAATTTAAATGTACTAGATGAGTATGGGGGGAGAAGGAGAGAGATCAGAGCTAGAGCCTACAAATAAATGGGCTGAAATAAAACAACTTTTAAAAGAAAAGTACCTATCGTTAATTCTACTAAGATCAAATACTTGATGAATTTAACTTATTGAAACAAATTACCAGGATTGCAGCTATTACATAAACAAGGTTGAAGAATTATTGTTACGTTTTAAAATTTATGAGGTTAAAAAAATGATGCTTTGAACTTAAAAAGAGATAGGACACCACGTAACGGTAATCCGTTTGAGCAAACTTTTCAACTTGTTTTAATTTCGAATAACTACTAAAATTTCTTGCGCCTTGAAGAATCCTTTCATATATTTGGAACACTTATTATTGCTTAAGTAATCAAACTAAAACAATTGCATCTAAAAATTGTAGCATTACCACCGATAAAGAATCATAAGAAAAGTTGGTAGCTATTGCTTTGGATCCAAGATTTTTGCTAGTCTTATTTTGGATGTCACATAAGGGGTCACTTTGTAGTGAGTGCACATGTATAAACTTACATATTAATGTTGAAGAAGAAGAGAATGAGGATGAAAAAGGAGAAGATATGCATGAATTCAACAAGGAGATCAATGCTTTTGAAAATGCTTAATTTGAGAATTTTTTTGATGTCATGTGAGGCATTATTTCCATACTTAGGTGGAACTTGATTGGAAAATAATTTCAATATTGCAAATGTATTTTAAGCAATGTGAAACACTATAAACTTATTATTGATAGTGAAAGTTATATGAATGTTGTTTCCAAAATTGCCATTGAACACGTGAATTAAAGGCTAAATTGCACCCATAACTGTATAAAGTAGCTTAGGTATATAAGTTTGCAATTTCAGTAACTCAAAGATGCTTGGTACTCATTGAACTTGCTACCTTTAATGATAAGATATGATGTAATTTCTTATCTATATATATCATACATCATTTTTTGTTGACCTTGACTGTATGATTTAGATGTGACATATTTTGGAAAGTCCAGTGCTTATGCGTTTAAGGTAAATGGGTGGAGGATAGTTTTTAAACCTGCCAAATAAGAGTCCTATTAAAACATTCAAGTCCTTCAAACAAACAAAAGAAACATTTGCATTTTATAAGCTGCCATGCTTTTGTGATAGAGAAATAGAGCTAAAGGAGTAATCTATATGCTTGATTGCTGTTGATTTGAAAATCAAGATGACTGAGGGTATATCAACGTTTGATGAATTTAAGGAACAGTGCATTAACAAACTATTTGATAAATTACTACTACTTATGGATATGCGGCGTGCTATTGATTTGGTTCATGGATCATCCATCAGTGCTTAGTTTATCACATAATAAATTGAGCTTTATGAATAGTTTGAACTTAAAAGATAGATCGATGAATTACTTTGGAAAGAATCAATTAGTGAGAGTATGAGTCCATGCGTTGGCATACATTACTTACACCTAAGAAGAGAAAGACTTGGAGAATGTATGGATAGTTAAGCAATATTAAAATCACCGTCAAGTGTCAATTCTCCATATCGTGATTATATGATGTGTTAGATATAATGTTTTAGGTTATTATTTTCTCAAAAATTGATTTCAGGAGTGGTTACCATCAAGTAAGGATAAGAGAAGGGGATGAATGGAATATTGCTTTTAAGATGAATAATTAATGATGCCTTTCAAATTAACTAACGCCTTGAGTGCTTTCATTACAATTATGAACCATGTTCGATGTTTTATGAGAAAATTTCTTGTTGTATACTTTAAATATATTTTAACTTAGAACAAATCTAAAGAGGGCACTTAGAACATTTTGGAAAAGCCTTCGGGAAGTTGGAATATAAGAATTGTATCTAAATAAAAAAAATGATTTTCAATCACCACATCTGTTAGATTTTTAGGATTTATAGAGTACACTGATAGCTTAGTTATTGATCTTGATAAGGTTAAAGTGATTAGTGATTGGTCATAACTTATAATATGACGATATTTAGAGTTATCATGATTTTGCTATTTTTACCTGTTATTTATAAGTGGGTTTTGTTGGCATAAATCACTAATTGCCTTATGAAAGGGGAATTTACATTGAAGAATTTTTCTGAGCTTGCCTTCAGTGTGACATTAAGGAAATATTTAATTATGCACCTATGCACTAAGATCAGCCAACTGTAATAAAATTTATGATGTTTCGTTTGATGCATCTAGCATAGGAATTTGAGGAGGCACTAATATTAGCCAACTTTAAGAAAATTTATGATGTTTCGTTTGATGCATCTAGCATAGGAATTTGAGGAGTTTTGAGTCAAGTTGTACATTGTTTTAGTGAGAAGTTAAATGAAGTAAAATATTAATATTTCAATTACTATGATTGAGAATTTTATGCTATTTTACATTCAGTTTTATTTTATAGGCATAATTTGTTGTTTAAGGAATTTTTCCTATATGTAAATCATCTGGTTCTGAAATATTTATACTCCAAAAAATAAATTAGGAGATTGGCATGCTAAATGAGTTGAATTCTTACAAGAATGCACTTTTTTGCTAAAACATTATGATGGAACCGACAATAAGCCCGCTGAAACCTATAGTTATTGTCATCTTACACCATGCAAATTAAGGTGATTGGGTTTCACTTCTTTAAAGAGATAGTGTCAATAATAAGATTTCGCCCTCATTTATGAGGACTTTATGATCTGAGTTCAGGTTCTTATAGGCGCAAGCCCCTATAGTTAATTACCCCTTCCGATAATGAGAGAGAACTTTCGATTAAGGCTAGTCATTAAACAGATACATAGTATATGGTGTATAGTAGCAGTAGAATTTGATATTTGAAAATTGAAATTTATATCACCGTGCACTTAAAGTGGATGATGGGGGGAATGAAGATGAACCATATCAAGATCCCATGGTTCCGTCGTCCTGGGTTATTATGATCTCTAGTATACTTAGTCAGAGGAGGTAGTCAACCCAATCTGACCTTTGACTGAAGGATCTGTTATGCCGGTCCAGCCTGGACCGGCCCAACCTGGACCGGCCCAGCCGGTCCGGGCTCCAACGTTTTCTCCTTATTCTCTCAGTTTTTCTACTGTTTGGTGGCTGTTTTCTATTGAAAACAGTGGAATAATTGTGTTTTGGCAAGAATCCGATAGGAATCACTTGGAATATTCAAGTGGAACCTAACAGGATCCTTGTCGGCAGTCATGAGTTGCTTTGTCTAAGGGTACCTTGTAGACTTGTGGTGAATGTTTGTCTGAGGGGATAAATTTGAATCCAATTTAGCTAATAGAAGGCTTTGTATTCTATCAGTCATACCATATTGATTTATTAATCAATGATTTAAAGCCATTGGGGAATATACTAACCATGACCGTAATTTAGTGTACCATTTGACGACAAAATCATCCGGTTAGAGGGTCCCGATCATAATTGTTTACTTGTGGTGTCATTTGGTGGCAAAATCACAGTTTAGAGGACACATGTCATGTTCTTACTGACAAGAGATAATTTGTGAATGAATTATAGTGATATTCTCGACTAGGCATTCGCTCTTTGTGAGCTGAAGTGATTTTCAAACTTGTCCACCTCAACAAACTGTTGTGGAGGGTGGATTGATTTTTGCTTCAAGTGTTTGATAATTAATTTCAGTTTTAAATATGTTAATATCATTGATAAATGTAGAGTTTTAAATCTTTAATAGGTCTTTGAGAGTTAACCCATCCGATTGAGATTTGCATTCAATACGACCATCATCGGGGTAACCTTATTGTCACTTTAAATGCTTATATTTTATGAGTATGAGAGATATTTTAAAAGTTTGCGGTCCCCTCCGATTGAGATTTTCTATCAACATAGCCATCATTAGAGATTTTAAAGTCATTTGAAAATATTTATATTTCATAAGCATTTAGAGGCATTTGAAGTCAAATTGGATCACTTTTGGTGTTGTTGGGTTCATATCATTGAGATGTTTAATTTGACTGTAAATTTGTTGAAAATAGAGTTTAGATGACCCTGGATTGAGTGAATTTTTTAATGATGTATCAAATATAAAGTATTACATTGCATTGTCACCACTGCTCACAATTAGAAATCCTGGTAAACGTTGTTATCAGTCTAATCTTCAACGCATCTAATTTGATTTCATTTCATTAACCTACTGATGGTATCATGGATTCCTCTCTTTCCATCCCCTCTTTGTAAATTCACATCTAACACCTTAATAAATAGGCCTACTTAACTTGTTCCTAAAGCTATTATAGATAATAAGATTGTGTCCATTATTGATGGTAGATATCAAATACATGAGATGCATTCTCTATTATTTGAATTATCTTACTGGAATTAGTTCACTGCTACAAGTTTTTTGTGTTAACCCAAGAATTCGAAATGCAGTATGTTTTCTGTTCAAATTCAGTTCAACAGTTGCTGAGTTTGAGAAGTATTGGGTGGAGCATAAATTTTTCTACTTATTTCATGTTGTTACTGTGTAGTTTCCCACTATTTTGTGCATCCCTCTGCTGAGTTATGTTTCTCGCTGTTCCCGTTGTCCACTTTTATTGTTTTCTACTATCATCTTCGTTCTTTTCTTCTTACGACTGTTGCTTTGCTTCCTGTCTTCCCATATACCTCTTACCAGTGCATATATGGGGCAACACATTTCCTTTCGCAGCTTTTCCTTTTGTAACCTCTATTTTTCACAGTATAGCTACGATTCCCTTTTTTGGTTCCTTTGACCTGGCACTATGGCACCCGAGCAGGACCTTCCTTTATGGTTTTTCTTAGTTTTCGATGTGTTGATTGCCAGCTTTCCCTTTTCCTTTGTGCTGGAATCCATAAAAATTATTGTATTTGACCATAATTTGATGGATTTTGAAAGCAAGTGTACTTGTGTTACAAATAGAACCCATAAGACATGTAATATTCAATTAATGATTCAATAACCCTCTTAAACTTTTGTATATTGTGGATGTGAATTCTTTCTAGTGTTTGTAGGCCTTGATAATTACTTTTGGGGACGTATCTCTTCCTATTGATATGAGAAATCTTTTATTTGGTGATTTTTATCCTGGTTATTTTTGTTAACTTGTTCAATGACTTACTGTACATTTGTGTGATTGAAGTTATCATATGTTATGGATGCCATTTTTTTTTATCCTGTGAATCTTAACCGTTGTTAAATTTTATTTTTCTCAGTTTTTTTTTTTCTCATGAAATTTCACATTTGGGTCATTATTACATTATTATTTGGAATGAAAGAATCATGTTTGTTATTTTTGCATTTAAGGTGACTACATTTTATAGAAGTTGAGAGTTATCATATTGCGAATTGCGACTCTTTTGTTCTTTCATTGTGCATCTCATCCTATATTGCATAAGTGAACTCTAGAGCTTTAAGAATCCTTCATTATTGGGCCTAAAAGGATGAACATGATTTTCCTTTTTTGCCCTATGTTTTTTGTGTAGTTTATATTAGATTATCAGGTAAACCTACTATTGTACTTATAAATATATTTGCTCATATGCCATAAAAAATATATGAAGTTAGGTTTTCTCTTTTTTGGGCATACTTTGGAATTTTGCAATTTTTTTTCTTTTAAGTCTTACAACGAATAGTCTTGCTACATATCTCAGGATAATTTGGAAGTGACAACGTTAGGCCGGTTCAACCTGAACTGACCCAGTCGGCTCAGGTCTACAAGAGGCGGACAAGTGCCGCCTTCCTTGCTTCTTGCCGCCCACAATAGTGGGCCCCACTAGGCCAATTGAATTCAAAATTGAAGGGGGGGTGGGGTGGCGGCTAGTGCTTGGGAATGAGATTAGATTATGAAAGTTTATGTATTAAAGAGCATGAGATGTTTTAGGGTGAGGTTATGTTTTGATTTGTTCTCTATTAAGATTCTTTGGCGAAATGGGCTCTAGACTCTCTTGTCTAGAGATTTGGGAGAGACGATCCTCCTCTCGAATTGAGGATCTCTTGTATCTTGTTTCCGTTTTTGTTTGGCTTTAATTTTCTTATTGCAATCTATCGTTTGTGCTTATTTCTCCCAGATTTTGTGCTATTCTCGCTTTTTTTCACCTATTGGTGATAGGTTTGCTTGCGAACTCAAGTATTACCCTTAGGGTTACTTGCGAACTCAAGTATTTCCTATCAGAAAAACCTTGAGATTCTTCACAAGCAGGCCACCATGGTGATCGCGGTTGTCATCTGCATCTATTAGGAGGAGAACGTGTGCCTCCAGGTTGATACTCCATACGCACACTCATTACATACTGCCTACTCCCCACACAAACCCCAAAGTTCGGTTGGATTTCCTCGATTCAGCTTGCTAAGCTTATTTTCAGACCATTCTTGGTGCTTTGAGATTCATGCATCTTTGCCTTTGAATTTATTATCCGCAAAATCCGTGTCAGATGTTGCGGAATTCTACCCTCACAGTAATTGTGCATATTTTTTGGGTATGTGAACTGCTTTTGATTTGGTTCATATATGTGAATCATATACTTCTGGATGTTGCCTTCTGTTAAGAAGTTGTTAAGGCACATAGGAGTAAATAACAATTCTAACTGCATCATTTTCAAGTTAAATGCCCCACTTATGGATTACTTTGTGCACTATTTTAAGAGTTCTATACCATAATCCATAACAAGTTTACCGTCACTGTTCTTACAGGTTCATTTTTTTCCTTTTGTGACTTCTAAGCTATCTCAGAAGCATTCCCGAAGAAGGAAGCATCGATTCTTCCATGGTCTTAGCAAGAGATCTTGACAAGGTGGTCAAAGGACTCTAATTGTTTCTAGAACAAGCCGTCCTGTTAGTAGATTTTTTTTCACAAGCCGAAATTTGAAACCAGAAATCATTGGCCTTCAATATTATCTTCCAGAGCTAAACCAATCGATCATCCACTTGATGCAGCTTAAGTTTGTTGAATGCAACTTTTCATCTTGACGTCTGCAACTTTCTGGAAGATCTTTTGATTTTGATTCCTACTTATTTGCACTGTAATGTTCCGATTTAACCTCAGAATAAGATCAACTCAAAGCTATTCGACTATGATCTCGTTTGAATCAGGTTTGGCTTGTTTTTTTTCTTATTTATGTTCATTCTGCGTCAAAAGTTGGTTTTTCAGTTTGTTTATTTCCATCTGAATTCAATCTTAGTCAATAATCTGATTACCAAGTGATCTTCACTCAAAATCAGAGTTCTCGCTGTTGATGCTAGTGACTTGTGACTAGTCAAAATTCAGCTGAAATAGTATTTCTGAGTATGATCTGTTTGTAAAAGTAATATCTTATATACTTTGCTGTTTGCAAGATGCCATTACAGCGTAGAAGGTCATAATTACATGCATTCTAAACTTGCATTGCTTGCTTCTTTGAGCTGTCATTAGGAAGTAACGTTTTTTTTTTTATCTTTTTCTTATTAGGTGACTTGTGGAGCTAAGCTTCCATTTCAGTGTAGATTCAGGCGTAATTAAAACCTAGATGATCTCAATATCTGTGGGCACCACTTAAATGTGGTGTTTGTTTGATTTGATTTATGCTTTTCTATTTATTTTTTTACCCAAATAGTATGTAATTCCATTTCTAAAACTCTTCTCGTTGCAAAGTGGAGAAAAAATAATTAAGCTTTTATAAGAATTAAATGTTGATGGTTGACTAAATTTAGAATAATGAGTTATTTATATATTTAGGAAAATTTTATTGTATATGCCCCATAATAATAATAATTGAATAAAATTTGTTCGTTGTTTATTTCTTAGAGAAATGTATCAAAAAAATTATTTCGGATCATAATACCCCCACTTTTGACCATAGTTTATTTATTTAAAATTGTTGTAGCCATTATTCGTTCGAACAAGATTTGAACTTATTTTTAGCTATATTTGAGTTTATGTTTGAATCTTATTCGAATCTACATCGAATCATATTAGAACGATCAAATTAAGCTTAAGCAAGTTTTGAACATAGTTTGAAAATATATTGATATAGTTTCGAATAAGGTTCGACATAGGTTCAAAGAATGTTTGAATGTGAATTATAACATAATAGATTATAATGTTGATACAGCTAAATGAGTGCAACCACAATAACTGCACAACATATTATAAGAGAGATAATAATTCATAACATAATATAATGCATTCTAAGAGATTTAACACAACATACATAACATATAGTGCAATTCAAGAGCTATAACACAATATATATATTGCATTAATGAAATAATAGATGTGCACAAAAAATAATGTCGAAAATAATAAATAGACTTATGTATTTACATTATTGTGAAATAAATTTGCATATTAATGATCTATGTAGAATTATAGGCAATCCAGTGTAGCTGTTAGAAGATGTATTTTTTTTTTTTTTAAATTAGGTTGATAATTGCATTGCATAAACTCTACGGTCATCACTACAAAATAAGATGGAAAAAATTATTAGACTATATGTGTGAAAAACTGAAAATTATTTAAATTAATTTATTATTATTGAAGTTATAAATATATTACTTTTTTATAGGTTTTGTGATTGTTAGACCGGCGTAAGGAGGGTCGATTGAACCAGCCCTAGGGGTGCTTTACTTTAGACGACCAAGCCAGCTGCCGACCCCCTTGTAGGGCCCATCACTTGAAGAGGAGGGGGCGGATTAGGCAGTTTTAATTTATGGAGGGGTTGTTTAGTAAATCGGAGTTGTATTTGTATGCTTTAAATAGATGATATTTTTTAGGGTTAGGGTTATCTTGATATTTGTTGAATTTTGGAGAGTTCTTAGGATTTGTTTGGGCTCCAGCCGCTGGCTAGAGATTCAGAGAAAACGGATCCTCCTCTCCAATTGAGGATTTATTGTCTCTTGTACGTTTTCTTTCATCTTTTTTCAATTAAAGAGGTTTATTTATGGTTATTTCTTTCAAATTCTTCTCCAATCTGTTTTGCAAGTGCTGAAATTCAAATTCAGCAAGGAAAACTCTTGTTCCTACAAGCATTTCCTATCAAATTGGTATTAGAGCGGTGTCTTAGGATGTTTGGACTGATTCCTGCTGCAATATTTCTCTTTCGAGCCGTCGTCTTTGTTGTTTTTGGGGTTAAAATCCTAATTTTTGAGTCTAACAAAGATCCGAGGACCTATGGTGACAAAAAAGGTGGAAGAATTGGAAAGGAATATCAGAAAAATGAAATTTGAAATTTTAGATCTCCAAACTCAAGTTTCATATTTATAAAATGAAATTTTAGTCGTCCATGAGAAGATCGACTTGAAATTTTCCATCTTTGAGGAGATGTTAAAGAAATTGCTCGAGGGCCAAACCAAAACATTGCCGTCGGAGGGGAGGGAAGTCGCCGACATCCATGGAAGTGGGTAAAACCCTAAGTCAATCAAACAAAGGGATGATCAGGAGGTGAAGATTTGGATGGAGCAGATAAAATGCCTCCCCTAGGGTCTATTGCTAAGGAGGAGTCGGGTGAAGGGCATGTGGAGAGGCATGAGGGGGTTGGATATGAGTGGAGGGGTGTAGAATTTGAAAGGAGAGGGGCTGAATTTGAAAGGCAAGGACTTGATTATGATTGAAGAGGTGTCGAATTTGAAAGGAGATGTGCTGAATATGATTGAAGGGGTGCTGAATTTGAAGGGAGAAGGTGAGCTTGTGATGAAAGGTTTGGGTGCAAGCGGAGAAGGGATGATTGGCATAATTGGGACGAACCACCACCTTGGGTAATGGGAAACTTTGGAGGAAGCAGGGGTGACGGAGGAGATCTGAGGGTGAGGAAACTCAAGATTCCTGTTTTTGAGGGAGATGATGCACTTGAGTGGATCTACATGGTGTAAATGTATTTTACCGTCAATAGGTTGATGGAGTAGGAGAGGCTAATGATAATCGGGATGTGCTTGGAGGGGAAAGCGTTGGCCTGGTACCAGTGGAGGGATATGAGAAACCCATAAGGACCTAGAGGGAGTTTAATGACTGCTTGTTGGAACTTTTCTGAGCAAGCCGAGGAGGGGACTTCTATGAGCAATTCTTCGTCCTGACGCAGGAGAAGACAGTGGTGGAATATCGTTAGCAGTTTTAGCACCTAGCTGCAGAATGGACCTGCTTTCAGATACTGTACTAGAGGGGAACTCTATGAAAGGGCTCCAACCAGAGTTTCGAGCGACAATTAGAGTGATGAGGCATCGTGATTTGGAAGAGACTATGGAGCTAGCTCAATTAATGGAGGATCAGAGGCACGGGAGGCAGCAACTCATGAGGCTTGTATAGGATGACCATCACATTTTTGGCACCCAAGGTGCTGACACCTGGTACTCTTCGGGAGACCCCAAAGGAGAAGACGATGAAAAACTGGGGACAACTTCAAGAATCTCATAGAAACAGAGTTACAGAAGAAGAGGGCGAAGGTGTTCTATTTCAGATGTGATGAGAGGTATACATCAGGGCACAAATGTAAGGATCAAACTTTTCAGGTTCTCACCATTTGTGATAATGAGGAAGTTGGCTGTCTTTCCACTTACGAACAATGTGGGTTTTTGGGAGGGGGGTATTGTTAGACCGGCTGGATCAACCCAAGGAGGGCATGCTAAACCATCCCTAGGGCTGGTTTACTCTAGGCGGCCAAGACAATCGTCGGCTTCCTTATGGGGCCCATTACTTGAAGAGAAGGGGGCGGATTAGGCTGGTTTTGATTTAGGGAGGGGCTGTTTCTTAAACCGGCGTTATATTTGTATGCTTTAAATAGATGAGATTGTCTAGGGTTAGGGCTATATTGATATTTTCTGAATTTTGGATAGTTCCTAGGGTTTGTTTGGGCTCTAGCCGCCGGCTAGAGATTGGGAGAGACGGATCATCCTCTCCAATTGAGGATCCATTATATCTTATTTGTTTTCTTTCACCTTTTATCAATTAAAGATGTTTATTTCTGGTTATTTCTTTCAAGTTCTTCTCTATAATCTGTTGTTGCAAGTGCTGAAATTCAAATTCAGCAAAAAACAAAAAAACTCTTGTTCCTACAAGCGTTCCTATCACCCTTCTCTTGTTCATAGGATGGCATAATATGAATTACAGATGATTGTGATTTTACTACCTCGTTGGCTTTTCCTTAAAAATGGTTGTGCACACTTCTTTATAACTCTAGCTGGGCAGACTAAGATTATGTATAATAGACTTAAGGACGTCTTCCAAATTAGCTCAATGTACCAACATACGATGAACAATTACCTGCAATGAACAAAGTAAGAGTTAAAGATCTACCACACAAATAAAAAAAATATTTTGATTAATTTGAGATAATGATAAATGCGTACATCTTTATTGACCAATAATGGCAAAACATTCTTTTCTTTGAGAACCTTATTACACTTCCATCTCAACATCCTTGATGTTGTATCTTTAAGGGACTTAGCATATCTCATAGTGCGCTATATCCCTCATTAGTTCTCTCAGTATTTTCTTTCATGCTAGCTTACCCCATCCCAAAAATGCCTCATCATCTTCAACCAAGTTAAGAAGTTTAACTAAAATAATATTATGTTTGCTATGATTGAGGTGGATGCCATCTGCAAAAAATTTAACTCAAGCTTTTACACATAATATTCCTTAGTGTGTTTCATGAAAATTTTCTCCAGGTCTATATTTTTTATGATCTTATTCCCAGGTAAGTCGTTTTCAAGCAACCAATTGCTTCTCAGATTTTGGAATTCCTTAAATGGGAATTCTCCAAACTTCGACCCATTAATCAAAGCAAACCCTGCAACTCTAAATATGGTGTTCTTTCCTCCAATGTTGAACATAATGGAGTATTCCATATTCTCATGATCATCATTTATTATATTTGATAACAATTGCTAAATCAGGACCCCGGATAACCGATGTTCATGAGTTATAAAGACATGACCAAATGGGGATCTCTCAACATCAATAATGAGGTTAGTAATCACAAATTGTCTAATCAATTTCTCCATTTACCTCCGTCTCTGTATGCTATTCGAGCATTATTATGTCTCTTGTTGGCATGATTAGAGCATACATTTTCATATGTAACAAAATGACTCAAATGAAGAAAATAAAATGTAACATCTTTGAACCATGATAGAACTATGCTCAAACCATCTTCAGACCTTGATCAATAATCAAACTATATTCAAATAATCTTTGAATAAGGTTCATACCATGATTGAAATAACTTTGATTATGATTCGACCAGTTTTCAAACTATCATTTTGAAGCTCTTGATGTCATGATCTAACGGAATTGACAGGTCATAAATATAATAATTAGATTGATTGAAATAATTTTATGGTGATGCAAGAATTACAATTTTCTCA